ATAATAAACATATGTATTCTCAAATTATTAGCTATAGTTTGACCTAATCAACCCCTGGCTTGTGATCTTTACATTTGTTTGTATTTGAGGCCATAATCTAATTTAATTGAGCAATAAACATGTAAATTGAGGCAACTAAAAGATCACATGTCTTATATTTTGATCCCATCATAACCAAACAAATACATAAGTTATGAAAAAGCACAGGCAAATGAATGAAATAAGACTGACAAAGAATGAAAAAAATTATGAAAAAGCGCAGGCAAAAGAATGAAATGATACTGGCAAAGAATGAAAAGAAAAGAAATAAAGTTGGCAAAGAATGAAAAAGTTATGAAAAAGCACAGGCAAAAGAATGAAATGCATTTCATTGCCAAGGAGAAATGAAAAATGTGGTGGGTAGGAATGAAATAGCTGCAAAGCAAGAATGAAATAGTCTAGGCATTTCATTTCATATTTCACTTGGGGGGATTGAAAAGACTGTGCAGGCAAATGCCCAGGTTTTATCATAAAAGTGGTAGGCACTAGTGAATCCTGGACGAACTTCCGACCGTTTGGAACCCAGACAAAGATGTGACGTTCATTAAGCTTGAGCATATCGTTGCGTTGTCAAGGGCTCGTGAGGAGGGGAGGTTGCAGGGCAGGAGAGAGGCCATGGATGATGATTTCTAGTGCCTAGTATTTTACAGTCAATGTATATTTGTAGCCTTACTTACATATTCACTAAGTCAAGGGCGAAGTGCTCACCCTTGACTTGTTGAAACGGTTGTGGGAATTAAATATTATTTGCTTATGCAAGTCGACCTTGCTTCCATAATACCATAACGACATGCAGGGACGACGCCGAAACAGAAAGAATTATGTGGTCATCCACGACACAGATTTAGGTGAAGGCAACATTGCCATTCCACAAGCACGCACCGTTACTCTTTCAGCCAACCACCGCCGTATTCAGCAAACCCCACAATCCCCTCAGAAGTCTTGCCGTTTTGCCCAGCCAGCTCCTTGTTACCACTGGAATCCAAGTCCTCAGTACGACCTGCAAGAGTCAGATGATAGTTTTCAGCACGCCCACATCGCAGGGTCTACATCAGCACAAGCATCAGACGTGGCCGCCAAGGTGGCTTCTAAGCGATATCCAACCTCGGTAAGTGTTATTGTCGTCATTTCAACTCCATTCCCTCAATTGTGCAGGATGCACCTCTTCAAGAGTGGTCTGGGAGGACCAAAGAAGACCCCGGCTTCCGGGAGGAGTTCTTATTGGAGATGTTGAGGTTAGAGGGCTGTGGCGACTTGAGGCAGGGAACCTGTATGTTGTGCAAAGGGCCGTGTGGCGTGTTCCGATGCGATGAATGCTTGGGTGGGAGACTGGAATGCTCAGGATGTTGCTTAGCAAGGCACAAGGACCTTCCACTTCATATCATACGGGTATGTCAAGTTGTCCTTTCATCGTTAGAGTGGCTTTGACTGATTTATTTGAGTAGAAGTGGGACAACGTGTATTTTCAAAAAATTTCACTAAAAGCTATGGGTTTGTGCGTGCAGCTGGGCCACGTCAACTCATCGTGTGTCTTACCGGTTCCTGGGCATCAAGACTTCATAGTCTTGCACACAAACAGCCTTCATTATGTCGCTGTGGACTTCTGTGGTTGCAATGAGCGAATCCCGCATCGTCAACAGCTCTTGCAGTGCGAATGGTTTCCCGCAACCGTCTATCAGCCCCAAACCTGCGCGACATTCCAACTTCTCAACCTCTTCCACATCGTTACTCTGACAGGGAAACTCTCGGCGCATGAATTCTATAAGTTGCTTGAACACTTAACCGACAATCTTGATATCAATGTTCCCAAGGTGGATGTTCCCCCAGACTAACCTCATGATTTCGATTCCTAACGATCTTCACCTAGATGCAGTATAGGGCATTGATGAGGATGATCAGAATGTGGCATCATCTGAAACTCATGAAGTGCGCGGGTCGGGGGAACTTGGCTAACGGCCTCATCACAACGCAATCCAGTCACCTGGCGGTTGCGCACTGGTCCTTACCATATTTTATCATAAAACCATGGCCTAGGCCAGGAAGGCCTTGTGCATAGCTCCACATACTTTTATGAAAAGTATATCATATATATCCCAGGCCCTTTTATGATAAGGATTTTTTTCATAAGAGGCCTTGTGCATTTCAATAACTTTTCATTGCAGGTCACAACTTATCATTAACTGCTTTTCATTGCAGTCCAGCCATTTTCATTGACCACTTTTCATTGCTGGCCAGCCCTTTTCATTATCCACTTTTCATTGCTGCTGGCATTTTCATTGGGTGCTTTTCATTGCAGGCCAGGATATTTCATTGGTAGCTTTTCATTGCTCTCTAGGATTTTCATTGGCTACTTTTCATTGCAGGCCAGCCTTTCTCATTGACCACTTTTCATTGCAGGCTAGGATATTTCATTGGATACTTTTCATTGCAGGCCAGCTCTTTTCATTGACTGCTTTTCATTGCTGCTGGTATTTTCATTGGTAGCTTTTCATTGCAGGCCAGGATATTTCATTGTAGACTTTTCATTGCAGGCCAGCTCTTTTCATTGACCGCTTTTCATTGCTGCTGGTATTTTCATTGGTAGCTTTTCATTGCAGGCCAGCCGTTTTCATTGGCTGCTGTCAGGTGGGTCATCAGGAGAATGGTCACATGACCAGTTGCCTAAAATGGTTAAAAACAAAAATTGTAGTCCTGCACTGTAGCTTCCTGAATCTGTTTAAATTATGTTGTAAAGTGCTTTCATTGTAGAGATATGAGGTAAAATATTTTTCTCATCACCAGCTTTTTTTGCATTTTTTGCATTTTTCTCCATGAAAACAAAACCAAACAAGATGATTTCAACACATTTAGGAATCCAGGAGAAGAGGCTACAATTATCATATTGTGGGAAAATTGTGCCAAAAAGGAAGGTGCATACCTCAAAAGGGAAATTGACATGGATAGCCTGCAAAAGGCTACAAAAAGTCTGACATAGACTATAAGGACCACTGATAGACTACAAAAGACTACAAAAGTTGGACATACCTTACAAAGTTTAAAGTTTACTAAAAGACTACAAAAGACTACAAAATGTCGGAAATAGATTACAAATTTTACTAACATAAGTTTCTAGTGTCCCCTTTGGTTAGACTACAGAAGTTTCTAGTGCCCCTTTTTTTAGACTACAAAAGTTTCTATTGTCTGCTATTTGAGACTACAAAAGTTGTAGTGTCCCCTTTTTTTGGACTACAAAAGTTTGTAGTGTCTGCTATTTGAGACTACAAAAGTTTGTATTGTCTGGTTTTCAAGACTACAAAAGTTGTAGTGTCTGCTTTTTTGAGACTACAACAATTTGTAGTGTCCACTTTTTGAGCCTACAAAAGTTTGTCTTGTCTGCCTTTTTGACACTACAAAAGTTTGGACTGTCTGCTTTCTGAAATTACAAAAGTTTGTAGTCTGATTTTCTGACATACACTGTGTAGTGTCTTTGACTATGTTAAGGTTCATGGGGATATGGCTGAAGGATTGAGTTGGCTTGACACCCATCTATCTATTGCTGCATCAGTGGTTTTGTATCATGCTCAACTTGTCTTTGACATAAGTAGAGCCTATTCTATCCTTTCATGTTAATAGTTACTCTCCTCTCTCAAACTATACTTAACTCTGATTCATTAGTCCATGATGAAAAAGCCTTACCAATTTCAAGATTGTCTTTCTCACATGACTCCTCAATGAAGATTGAGAAAGAGACATGACCCAATTGCCCCTTATCCTTCACCTATCAGTCCTTCTGAATGAGCTAAGATTGAATGATGAAAGGTTGGAAGGTGTCAAGGGATCATGCTATGAAAAGCCCTGATAGGCTGCCAGGTATCACACACAATTCATAATTTTCAGAGAAGTCACTTTCAACAA